TCGATACCATCTTCACTACCCAGCTCCGTCACGAGTCTGAGGAGACCCTGAAGAAGACTGGCCAGCACTGGCAGATCAACCTGTTCAGCGGTGTTTCCCACGGTTTCGCTGTCCGCGCGGACTTGAGCAACAAGCACTTCAAGTTCGCCAAGGAGCAGGCTTTCTGCCAGGCTGTCAACTGGTTCAGGCAGTACCTGTGAACTAAAAGCATAGACTGATAATTACTAGCGTGTTGTATATGTTCACTTCATGCTAATGAATAGATGTGATGAATGATATACTTTGAATATGCGTATGTCTTGAAATACCTAGCCTTGTCATAGGCAGCTTGTAACTTCCACCAAATAAAAAGTTCATATGCATTTTCAAAGCAAGATAGACTAAAAGGACGAGTATTGAAACCGGGAAGTTAAGAGGCTCCACCGCCCATGCTCTTTAATTCTTCACTAACTTCATAGCTATGGTGGATGGTTCTATTCTTAGTAGCGGATCGATAAGGCTGTTGTTTACTCCATAAACTTGGCTTCCAGGAAGGCTTTGTAATATATGTATGATGCAGGCCAATTACTCGCAACTTCTACAGAATAGTAAGAGCTAAGATCTACAATTATTATGTAGGAAACATAGGCCTTAGGCACCATGTTGATCAGCTTTGCCTCAAGCACGTGATCCTGGGGGATCCGCGCCGACAAAAGAACCGCCGGAAGAACAGGTGGAATAAGTGAGATTGCCGTGAGAAGGGAGCGCAAGAAGCTGCGCGGTTTCGTTGCTCGCTCTTTGTCATTGAAGTTTCTAGCTTGCTTGCCGATTAGACCTTGTTTTCTCGCCCCCAATTTTTTCGACTGGGGCTTGTCAAGTCTTTGTCGTGTGCATTCTAGCGTCTGCGATCCGTGCTGTTGCCCCTGTGGTGGCATCATTGCAAATTCCCAACGAATCTCTTACTCTGTACGCCCACACTTCGCGAGATTTAAGAACTTGCATTACACTTTTACATTTAAGCTCTCCCGTTGTCCTCGACAGCAGCGTTCGATCAGCGAACCCGACCTACCCTGACCTTACATCTCGGTGAATTGCCCCCGAGGCTTATTGCTTATATTTTGCGCGCATTCCCGGCACAGTCAATTGCTCTACTTGCGAGACATTACATTCATTGAGTCGAACATTTTTTTTTTCGCAAAATCAATATGGCTACTCCCGCCGCGTTACCGCCACTACCATTTAACCCGGCGAGGGTGCGGTCGTATCTTCTTCGTTTGCCTCTCTTTACACGACTTGTGGTGCTGGCAATTATCGTCTTTTGGCTTCTTGAGTTCCAAACAGTATGGAGCGTGGTGCAATGGGGTTCGTTGGCGCCGGATGAAATTGGTCTCGGTAGCAGTGTGTACCCTTGCGTGCCTTACTCCTGAAAGACGGAGGATTATGCCCGTGCATGGCTCTGACTATCATAGTGTACCGGCTCAACACCTATCCATTCATTCACAATGGCTTCTTCCATGCCTTTTTGAACCTGGTGGCGCTTACACCATTGGTCGAGCGGTTTGAAGCCGAGCATGGCACGTTGACTGCTGTGGCTTTGTTTTTTGGGCGTAAGTCATACTCCGATTGCTAGGAATTGGGACCAGGTGTTCTAACATTTACTGTCAACGTAGCTCTTTCTACGTTCCCTGCAGGCCTCTACCTTCTGATCGAGAAATTCCTTTTGCATAGAAACACCGCGGTTGTTGGCGCAAGGTGAGTGTTATATACTTCGATCTTGCGAGTAGACAAGGCTAATCGAGCATCAAGCGTTTGGGTATTCCTCCTATTGGGTACCGAAGCTATCAAGACCTTTAAGTCTCACCCGTACTTCAGGTATTTCCCTAAATGTGAAGGGCGACGCGTGTCACAGTTTGCTAATATAAACTTAGTCTTGGGAATTACAAGATTCCTACCTGGACATCGCCCTTGTTTGCGTGCATAGTTGTGTCGATCCTTATATCTAATACAAGCTTCCTTGGCCATCTGTGTGCTATCCTCGTTGGCTATGCGTGTGAGTATCGCCTCCCCAGTCTTGCGACCGGTCTTATGCTAATATGTATACACTAGTCGGCCTCGGGTACCTCAAGGTGTTCGTTCCTCCGGAGAAGATTTTGAGATGGATCGAAGGGAAACTGAATCTGCTGGGCCGCCTACCACACTATGTCTCTGTCGACCAAAAGACGTATGGTCGATATGGTGTGCTCCCCACGACGAATACGATGGGCGAGAGAGGGACTCCTATGAGCTATTTGGGATCGTCGCAGCGCCTGGGTCCTTGAGCCCATTGGCAGTTAACACCGTGTCGGACATCTATATTACAATTCTTGTACATATTTAAGTATTATAGTAATCATGTGTTATAGTGGTATTGTGGTGGAGGATTCTTATTTTTTTGGCTCCTAAAATACATTAGCGTTGTTTTTTTGACATGACGTTGAGCGAGTTGTGCAGATGGTCTTTAGCGGCCGACGTAAATAAACTGAGGTGCTGCGGAGTTGGCTCCCAATGCCTTTGAGACTCCGCGGATACTACTAATACGACCAATTACTTCCCCGAATGTCTTGATTCGATGGCTTTAAAATGTAAGTCGCTACATGCTTGCAGCGTGCTAGTTGAGCTGCATTTATCCACTGCGCTCCACTTCCACCAACATCCTCTTTCCTCTGTTGACTTACCCCGGATTCTACTATTGCAAAGGACAACTCAGAGTAGACCAAGCTGACTGAAGACCGATGACAGCCGCAATCCGCAAATTGCGGAGTAATCCTCATTTCCTTTTCGTGCATTTACCGCACATCCTCTCGTTTCTATGCGTCCTCGCTGGAGTCGTCTGGCTTCTCCTCCTCCCCCTCAATGACTACTCCCGTAAAACGTACATCTCCGAGAACGCGCTTCTTCCCGGCCAAGTCCATGCCTACTTCTCCGGTAGTGAGCAGAACATCTTTCGCGGATATAGAAAGGAGCTAGAGGGGCTTCTACCCAATGGAGCTCCAGGGGAGGGACCAGAAAGGAATGATATTGAATGGACGCCGGAGTATGTTTACGGTCCTGCTTGTGGCGTCTACCGACAACCTGTGCTAAGCTGAGCTGTCTACTAGGATCTCGGATAAGATACAGTCGGTTCTCAAGGCTTCCGGCTTGAAAGTCGCGACACAGAAATATGAATACACTTCCGCGGGGATCACGCATCAGGGGGAGAACGTCTACGCCATCATTCAGGCGCCGCGGGGCGATGCGACGGAGGCGATCGTACTGGTTACGGCTTGGAAGACAGCCGATGGAGAACTGAATCTGAATGGGGTTACCCTCGCATTGACGCTGGCAAGATACTTTAAACGTGGGTTGATTTTATATTCTCCTTATAAGAAGGGCCATAGCTGATTGTTCCCAGGATGGTCGCTGTGGTCGAAAGACATCATATTCCTGATCACACCGGACAGCAAATCGGGGACGCAAGCGTGGATTGATGCATACCATGACATGCAACCCCCATCTGTTCAGCCGCTGCCGTTGAAGAGTGGCGCATTGCAGGGAGGTCTGGTGGTAGAATATCCCTTCGATCATCGGTTTGAATCGTTACATATTGTCTACGACGGTGTCAATGGCCAGTTACCGAACCTGGATCTAATAAATACTGCCGTATCAATTGCTGGCGGTCAAATGGGTATCGGTGCCAATTTGCAGGAGATGTGGGACCACAATGATAGCTACGAAGCGCGTCTTCAAACTATCTTGAGAGGCATGGCTAAACAGGGTTTCGGGTACGCCACTGGTGCGCACAGTAGCTTCATGCCATACCACATTGATGCTATCACACTGCAAACGAAGGGGGATGGCTGGCAGGACGAAATGGCCCTGGGCCGGACCGTAGAGAGTCTCTGTCGCAGCTTGAATAACCTCCTGGAACATTTGCATCAGAGTTTCTTCTTCTATCTGCTTATGCAGACCAACCGGTTTGTCAGCATCGGTACGTATCTACCCAGCGCGATGCTGATCGCTGGCAACTTCACAATCATGGCCATTGCCCTGTGGCTACGGACTGGTTACTACATGGGCTCTAAGCCTAAGCCTTCAGTCAAGGAGGGTGCTTCCCAGGATGAGAAGAAGGAACAAGCAGCAAGTTCCCAGGACAAGGGCACACCGAAGGCGACAAGTGTGGACCAAAAGAGCGACACCAACAGCATCATTGAACGACAGCTGGCGCTCCCACTCAGCTTTGTTGTCGGTCTACATCTATTGGGCCTGATTCCTCTCTTCATCTTCAACAACCTTTCCCACAAGGTCAGTATCATCTCTCCATCATCACAGTCCTGTATTCTCTGACAGAAAAACAGTACTTCACCACCGCCACCTACACCTTCGTTGTAGCCGATCTCGTCCTTCCGCTACTCCTTGCAGTCTTGCTTACCCAAGGCTTCACCCCCAAACCCCAGCATTACCTCCTTATGAAATCCTTCTCCCTCCTCCTCCTTGGTCTCTTCCTTTCCACTCTGGCAACCCTGAACTTCTCCCTCTCATTCATGATCGGCTTGCTCTGCACTCCTCTCAGCTTCGTCAACCGCATCAGTCCTGCCACCAGTGCGCCTATCCGGTACGCACTCGCCTTCATTGGCCTAGTGCTCCTGAATCTTCTCTCGCCCCCTGTCGTCCTCCTCGGGGGTTGCTGGTATACCGGAGTGTCAGTGGAGACCATTCTAACGCAAGCAGCGTTCGGATGGGACGTCTGGGGAATGTGGACACAGGTAGTTGTATGGTGTGTCTGGTGGCCAGCCTGGATGATTGGGTGTGCACTGTTAGGATTCTCCCTGGTTTGAAGTTGCATTGGTTTCCCATAGTCAAACTCTGTATACAAACGGGACAAGAAAACAACCCTGTAAATTAAACCTCTATACCAATCCACCATACCACAAAAACATCAAACCAAACGTCTCCACCCCACACAATTAAAAGCAAGCAAACAAATCACCACAAAAAGACCACCCCTAAACAGAACTGACCACCCGCCTAACAACCCCCAACATCTCAAAACCCTCCAACCCGCCCTCACAACCCACAACCCTCTCAACCCCAAACCCCCTCCCATCAAAACACCCCACATAATCCGCCCAATCCGCCCTGGGCCCCAACCACAAAATCACCTCCACCACCCCCCCCTCCTTCCCAAAAGCCTCAATATACCTGTCCACCAGCTTCGGCTCGCGCGGATAGACAAACATCCACGCCTTCGCGCCGGGCACGCGCGACGCCAGCAGATCCCACGTGCCCGAGACGACGTGCATGTCTTGTTCAGCGATGTAGCGGTTCACGGTGGGGTTTACTTCGACGCCTTCGATTTGGAGCGAGGCGTTGGTGTGCGTTAGCAGGGCTTCCAGGAGGCCGCTGCCGCTGCCGATTGAGACGGTGTAGTCTGGTTTCTTGGGGAGGAGGCTTGTGAGGGTTTCGAGGAGGGGGGTGGAGATTGAGAGGCAGCAGGTTGGGAAGGCTTGGGGGGTGGTGGTTAGTTGGGAGGTGAGTTTTGGGAGGGTGATTTCTGGGTCTTCGTCCATTGTTTTTGGTTTGGTTTGGGTTGGTTTGTTCTGGGGATGGAGTTGGGGATGGTTGGATGGTAGATGTATGATTTGAGGTGTGGGAAGTGAGGAAGTCGGAGGTGAAAATTCTGCATGATTTCATACGTTTCAATTATGGGTGTTAAGTCTAATATTCACTCGTACATATATCCCCCAAGTGCTACTCTTTTACGTTCAGAATATGATCAGGAGGAATGATAATCGAACATAGCTCATGCAGCCCACACATCCTTACCAACACCCTCGATCCAGTGGCCCAGTTGGTTGACGCCTGCGTCCCAGTCCTTCAGTCTATTCCGCATGCCTTCAATCTGGGTCATGTCCAGAACCTTCGGCTGCACCCAGTTGATCTGCGCGACTCCAGCCACCTGGTCGATGGCGCCCTTCAGCAAACCCAAAGACAGAGCCTTCATGATCAAGTGTTCGATCTCCTCGGGCTTCACCTTCGTCTCGGATGAGATGGCCGCGAAGGTCAGGTTCCGGTCATGCGGGGGTCTGCGGAAGACCATCTCCGTGAGGGCCGAGAGGGAGATCTTCTGGTAGAGGAAGAAACGATGTTGTTCTAGGAGCTGGTTCTTGGAGATGTTGCCGGCAAGGACGTCATAGGCAGTGAGGTCGCCGCGGTTGAAGGCGAAGAGGAGGTCGCGGAGCCAGTTGTGGGGGGTCTCGGTGAGGGAGTCCAGAATTGGATGCAGGAGTAGTTCACCAAAGTTGTAGATAGAGTCGGAGAGAGGGCTGCGACACTAAGATTGTACGCGCGAGAGACACGCTCGGATTCGCTAAGATCCTCTAGGTTGATGCAGGCGAGGTAGAGGAGGGCGTTCTTATAGAATGAGGCGAATTCTTGTTTTTTCTAGGCATACTGTGTTAGTCTATCTGGCGATTAATTCGACTTATATGACACATACATGGTAATAGTCAGCGTTGACTTTATAGAAGGAGGCATGGACAACGGTCTCGACCGAGTCGAAATTATCCAGGACCTTCTGACACGTTTCCAGGTCTTTCTGTGCTCCATCCAAGTCGTTGAGCCGTTGCTTGACATTGGCGACGTCACCAAGGGCATATATGTAAGCTTCTTGTGTGTCGGGCTTGTTCACCTTGTCGGCGAGGGATGTGAGGAAAGAGAGGCGTTCTTTGTCATCTGGTGGGTAATGATTTAGTGCCGCCATCTAGAGTGATAGGCGAGGGAAAACGAATCTTGAGGCATACCTGCACATTCTGTCGATGCCATCAACCCCAACGAGACGAATTTCAGCTGGTTGATCTTGTCGGCGAAGCTGAGCACGAAGGTCTTGAATATCGGTAACCGCTGCGGGGCGCTCTCTGAAAGGCGAAAGAATTCAATTAAGGAGTCGGTAAGCTGGTGCCATAATTTCCGCTCCCAGTAATCTTCGAAGGTGAGGAAGTAGGCCTGGCATTGTTCGGGAGCTTGCTGAAGCTGGTCCGCCAGGAAGTCGGAGATCTTCTGGTTCTCCATCGCGGGGAGAGTAGGGGCTGTGAAACGGAGTCTTGTGAATCAGATGGTGGGTTCCTAGCAAGTACCGGAGCTTAGCGCTGTTAGTTAAGGTAGAGCAGGCGCGAGAACAAGGCTGTAAGACAATGAATAAGGTGGCAGCAGTTGATGACGATGGAAGAGTGGATGGAGAAGTGGAGCGAAGCTCACTCAAGGCGGTGTCTTTGCGCCGCCCGAGCACATGACATCGAAGGTAAACCCTCAGGTACGGAGTCCAGACCTATGGTATATTCCACTTTTCTCAGTATACGACTCTAGACCTAGTAGTTTGACTCATAATGAATGAAGACATAGCTTTCATTGGTTATACTATTCATAGAACTCTTCCTGCTTACTACTGTGGAGAGCCATGGTTTAGCGGTATAGAAGTATCCGATATGTCTCCGAAAGAGCCATACAGAGACCAACAAGAAACTACTATAGACCGCGTTGAAATTTCCTTCTAGAGTTTGTCTGCTCAACATAAATACGGCGTGGTTTCCTCAGTTCTTTTCCCTCTGTTCCTCATTCTCCATCTCTCAACTCTTTGGATTCTATTGATCAATATCAAAGACAACTTTGGCAGACCACTTTATCTAAAAAGGAAACATTGACATTCAACACATTAGCCATGTCCGAGTTTACAGAAAAGAACAGACAGGTCTGGGAGTAAGGTCATATTTCCTTGCACTTGAGAGTCGTGGCTGACAATACATAGAAGCTATTCCAAGACATACAAAACCCGGTTCGAAAAGGGCACAAAGTTGTTATACCGCTTGACTCAGGAAAGGCGCCTTTGGTGTAGTGACGTTTGGACTGATACCGAAGCCGGGCAAGGCAAAGAGATCAAGGTGTTGGAATATGCATGTGGGCCTGGCGTTGTATCTACGGTCAGTCGATTGTCTCCGCTAGTCTGTGTCGTTACAGACCGTATTCGTATAGAGCGAGCTAATATATTCCAAAGGCATTGGCGCCATTCGCCACCAAAGTCGTCGGCATCGACGTCGCGGACGGCATGGTCGACGAGTACAACGCTAGCGCTCGTGAGGGCGGTTTTGAAGACAAAATGATCGGCCATAAGGGTGACCTCCTGGCCGAGCCAATGCCAGAGGAATTCTCAGGGCCAGAGTATTCCGATTTCGATGTTGCATTTGTCAGCATGGCCCTTCACCATTTCGAAAAGCCGGATCTGGCCATGAAGCGCCTCGGGGAACGACTGAAGAAGGGTGGTGTGTGTCTGATCATCGACGTACTTCCACACGGCAAGCATGACCATAACGCCCATGAAATGCACAACTCCAACCATGAAGCCGCACACACGATCAAGACTCATGGTTTCACCTTGGAGGATATGCGCAAGCTGTATGAAACTGCTGGGCTTGGAATGGGGTTCGATTATCAAGTCATTGAAGAGCCACTGGTGTTTGAGAGAGATGACAAGACATTCTCCAAGACCATCTTCATTGCCCGGGGCCAGCGTCAGTAAGTTCTGCTCTTTGGGGAGATATAACGTCTGGTTGTGTATGGAAAGGAGACATGAATATAGTATAGATTAGGTTCTAAGCTATACATATAATAATAATAGACTTAGACATATACTCTCTTGTCGATGTAGACCTTGTGCTGCGACAAGCAAAGCTCGCTGTGGATAAATTAAATAGAACCTTTGGTCAGTACTGCATTGATAGTTCTGGGACAAATATGAAAAGAGTTTGTTGGATACTGTGATGTTGGAGTGGTGAAAGCCCGGGGAAGAGTATCCAATCATATTTGAGGAATAGTCAGACACGATCGAGGTAGGTTTGTAGGTACACGCCTTCTGAAGGCGAGAACAGGAAGTTTATCTGCCAGTTTCAAGTGACGTGGCATGATTCTTACATCGGCCATGCCATTGACACCAAATGCAAGTTACAAATGGCGAGTGAAAGGGTTGACAGGGAAATGGTAACGTGAGAGGTGGTTCAAGGTGCTGTCCGAATCGGGACTAGTGCAGAGGTCCCGTGCCGGCAGTTTGCGTTCTCCAGCACGACAATCGACAAGTTCAGCATCAAGCACGAGATCGCCTGCTGAGCGTTGCTCTCCCCATTCGCTTTTTACTGCCCCACGAAACACCGATCCGGACGCAATTCGGTGGTCTCATCTTGATTCAGAGCTGAAGAGAGACCATGCAGAAGTGCCGGGCCGTCAATTCCGCCTTGGGCTCGAGGGCATTTGCCCCCGCCCCCAAGGTCCAACAAGTGCAGCGCCGGAATCTCCAAGATGTCGCGGTTACTAGAACCGGAAAGCCGATCCTGAAGGTCCAGGGTGGACGGTAAGTCCATTGCGTTGAAGCTGTGCAGGTGGATGGTGGCTAATTGACGCTCTTGCAGGTCGTCTCTTGGAGGTACTTTGGCCCTTTTTTCCGATCGTCGCATTGCCCTCAGATAATTTAACTGGAATTGTGTTCTAGGTCACACCGCTACCGTCTTCGGTGCTACTGGTTTCCTCGGTCGTTACATTGTCAACAGGCTCGGTAGGTCAACAGCTAGCTTGCGGGAAGTATAAACGCTGACAGCGTCCAGCTTCGCAGGGATGCACGGTCGTTGTTCCCTACCGTGAGGAGATGACCAAGAGACATCTGAAGGTGACTGGTGATCTCGGAAGGGTCAACTTCATTGTACAGTACCCGCAATTGATCTTGAACTGCAGCCATCTCGACTAATCTGTGGTAGGAATATGACCTGCGCAACACCCAGTCGATCGAGGAGAGTGTCCGTCATTCCGATGTTGTCTACAACCTTGTCGGTCGCCAGTATCCTACTAAGTCAGTAACAAACCACTTGGATGGCTCGAACAGCTACTTATAACAGGCAGGAACTTTTCCTATACCGACGTGCACGTCGACGGCATAGAGCGTATCGTTGAGGCTGCCGCCAAGTATGATGTTGACCGATACATTCACGTCTCTTCCTACAACGCCAGCAGAGACTCTCCTTCCGAATTCTTCGCCACTAAGGTCCGTTTTTTGAGCCATAACATGCCAGTGTGATGCTAAGTTGAGCTGTATAGGCCTGGGGAGAGGAAATTGCTCGTTCCATTTACCCCGAGACCACCATTGTCCGCCCTGCGCCTATGTTCGGTTTCGAGGATAACCTTCTCCACAAGCTTGCTAAGGTCACCAACCTCCTTACCTCCAACCACATGCAGGAGCGCTACTGGCCCGTTCACGTAAGCTACGTCTGAACCGTTTGCATGGATACGATGCTGATTCAAATAGGCCCCCGATGTTGGCAATGCTCTGGAGCGTATGCTTCACGATGACTCCACTGCTGGCCAGACTTTCGAACTTTACGGCCCCAAGAACTACTCTACTGCCGAGATTGCCGAGCTGGTTGACCGTGAAATCGTCAAGCACCGCCGTCACATCAACGTTCCTAAGCCGATCCTGAAGCCTGTGGCTCACTACCTGAACAAGCTGCTCTGGTGGCCCATTATCTCGCCTGACGAGGTTGAGCGGGAGTTCATTGACCAGGTGATCGACCCCAATGCTAAGACCTTCAAGGACTTGGGCATTGAGCCTGTTGACCTGGCTACCCTTACTTTCCACTACCTGGTAAGCACTCCACAGCGGTCTCGATGGTCCCTACCCTGTACTAACAGTTTCATAGCTGGGATACCGTAGCGCCTCGTACTACGACCTGCCACCGGCCACGGAGCGGGAGAGACAGGAGGAGAAGAAGTATTTGCACGTCTTGGACGACCAGTAGTCTGTGTTTCTTTACTGTACATAAGCTAGACATCCATTTCTTTTTCTTTTGTGCCAATGAGTGTGTATGTGACAGTAATTGGACTCGACAGCGCTACCGAGGTCATCATCTAAAGTTATACAATAAAACATCCGTCCATACATAGACAACTATTAAACTAATCACCCCCACTCCACCATTAAACCCACCTCCGCACCTTCTCTCCTCAACCCACCCACCAACATCAACACCGTCCAAAAGCAAACAAAAAACCAACGAATAAACACCCAAAAAGACAAAATGCCACCTCAATTCACCTTCAACACCTCCTCAACCCCCATCCTGCTACTCAAAACCAAATCCTCCCCGACAGACAGCTACGAAGAATACTTCTCCGCACACAACTACACCCCCACCTTCATCCCAGTCCTCGAACACAACTTCCACACCCCGAACCTAACCGCCGTGAAACAGCTCTTCCAATCCGGAGCCCTAAAACCCGGCCCGGGCCGCAAATACGGTGGCCTGATATTCACAAGCCAAAGGGCGGTTGAAGGATTCGCAACAATCCTCAACGATATCGATGGTGGGTGGAAATATACACATCCAGCTTTCCCACCTACGCAGTAGCTAATCACCACAAATAAACAGAATCAACCAAACACACCTCCTCCCAATCCCTGATCCTTTACACCGTTGGCCCCGCTACCTCCCGATCCCTAGCCTCCATCCGAGAACACCACCTCCCCCACTCGACTATCCTCGGCTCGGACACGGGGAACGGTGAGAACCTCGCGCACTTCATCCTCGACCATTACAACTCGTTGTATGACTCGCAAGCTGGCCCGAAGCCGCCGCTGTTGTTCCTGGTCGGGGAGCAGCGGAGGGATATCATTCCCAAGACGTTGATGGCGGGGTCGCTGTCGCCGGAGCAGCGGATTGGGGTTGATGAGCTGGTGGTATACGAGACGGGTGTTATGGAGGGTTTTGAGGAGAGTTTTGCGGGGGCGGTTCGTGCTTCGGAGGAGTTCTTGGGGGGTGGGGGGGAGAGGGCGG